GTTATACAAAATGTGATTTGTCAAGAGACCTTTTTGAGTTGAATATATTGGATTCTCTCCAAACAGAGTACAGCGAAGTCTAAGCCTTCATTATTATGCTCTGAAAACTTGTAAAGTAGATGAGAATGTAGACTCCTCTACATATTAAAAGTAATGTTACAAGTGACTCCTAGCATTTGTAAACTGTTAGCAATTAAAGTATGACCCCATAGCTTTGAATGTGATCTCAAAAGCCAGTGAATAGGACAAATGTGACTTTGCCTCAGAGAGGCAGAAACCAAGACTAAATCTTGCTCAAGGTTTTGAAGGTCAGCAGGAGAAACGAATGCGTAGTGTCCACTTGAAAGCTCCTTTGGCTCCTGGGAGATGGTAAATTCTAGGGCAATGCAGCAAGGCAGGTAAGAGTGGGAGAAGGTGGGCGGTTGAAGACCAGGGAGCAAAGGAGAGCTTCCCTCACGGTTTCACTCAGGTCAGTGTTAGAAAGAAGAATGTATGTAACCAAGGATATGAAAATAGATTTCTTTAAATCTTCATGCCAAGAATCCTCAGACAGTTTTTGTTCACTCTGAAGAGCAAGTGACTCTTAGTTTGAAGACCTAGCTGACTAAGTAAAGGAGCCCTTCAGTGCCCAGGATACTGCTGATCTGCTGAAGGGGCCAAAGACCTCAGAAGTGATGACCCACCCAAAACTGCTAGAGGGAGCCCCTATTTTTTAAGAGCACTTTGGACAGGCCTGAGCAACAGTGCTGTCTCCTTCATAGCACCCATTGTCAAGTGCACCTCTGAGGCACTGGATGGATCCAGCTCCTGACCGTCTCCAGAATGAGGCAAGAATTAGGAGTGTTCAGAGAAATGCAAACCTCCCTGGCAGAGGGAGGTTTCCCTGCTACATCGTTTCAGGCTTCTGTGTAACCTGTGCCAGGGCCAGTTTCCAGAGGAGACAGTGTGCTGGGCAGGCTGAGTCACAAAGGGCCAGCAGGCAGCTAGGATGTTTGAAAAGACACAGAGATGCTTTCTAAGTGTTTTGGTCAGTTCCACCCCAGTTTTAAGGTCCTTACAATGTAACCAGCTTCATGAGTGGTGACTGATGTGCCACATGGCAAAGGTGCTGGTGCAGGAGTGTGTCCTGGGTTTCATACTCAGGGACAGCCAGGGCCCCCATACACCCACCAGTCAGAGCACATCAAGGGCACAAAGCTTGCTGGCCTGGAGACAGATACAGAGTGAGATTAGGGAGATAAGCACTGGGAGGCTCAAAATTGTTCAAACGCATGGAGATTTGGTACCCGCATATAAAATTTGTGCATATCTGCCAACTACATGAGAACAAGGTGAAAATTAAATTTACCTTTAAACAGGCTCACATGTTTAAGGAGTTTATATAGATAATCCAGCATTTGGCCTGCCTTTGAAAGGGTTACTCAGCTTTTAAGACAACTTCTGCTCAGAGAAAGGATACAAGGGATGTTCTAAGACAGTAGTTCTCACTGTGGGCTGATGGAGTAGCAGTACAGGTGAGATCTTGTCAGAAAGGTCAATTTTGGGGCTAGGCCATGGCATGAGTGGTAAAGCACCTGACTAGCACGCTCAATGCACTGAGTTCAAGCCCTAGTACTGCAAAACAAAAAAATGTCAGTTTTTTGGCCTACTGAAGTAGAAACTCTGGGGGTTCTGTGGGTTGGACTCAATAATTAGTATTATACAAAATCTGGCTTTTAACTGCTATTGTAAGAGAAAAGGACAGTCAATACAGAGTTGAGCTTAGGGGGAAGGCTACAAGGAGAAAATGGGATATGAAGTTGCAGGACATGTTTGGACAGGTTGAGAGGCAATATTGGAGGCTTTGGCAAAGCATAAACAAAGGCAGATTAACAGTCAAGTTCAGCATGAGGCCTACTGAGCTAGAAAAGGTTGGCTATCATGTGAGGAAATGTGAAAGACCTGAGGCCAAACTAGGGAACAAGACTTGAAAGATAGGGGAACTGAGGAGCTATTGAAGCTTTGAGAAAAATGATATTGTGACCATGGTGTTTGAGAAAAATTGATGTCCATGAGACCACACAGGGACAAGAAGTATTTCTGGAGGACATGGCACTTCCTGGTAACAGAGCAGGTTCAAGAGTCGAACCTCTAGTGGGGATATCCTGAGAGGATGACAGATTTAAAGCCCTCCAAGAACAACAGCAAAAAATCCCAGACCATCCTAAGAAGGGGTCCCTGGCTTTATAAAAGACAGCCAACAGACTGCCTTCAACATGGTGAATGTCACCAAAATAGGGCCCTTATACTCTTGTTACTAGAATGGGGAGCAAAGTAAAGAAGAAAAGTCAGAATCAGTCCGTTTATGAAAGCTGAGGGCCTCCTAGGTAGATATATGGGTACTACCGAAAAAGACAACACCCCCAGGCACAAGAGCTGATGCTATTGAACTTAAGCTTCTTTTGAAGTGTTTGCTGCAGCCTTCTGGTTGGAGTAAGTTCTTTCCTTGCCTTCAAGTCTCACACAGAGATACCCTAAGCCTGAGGGGGATAGGAGGACTCTTCCTAGCTCATCCTATCTACTACAGCCCTAAATCCCAACCTTGGAGCAGAATTACTTCCAGAAGCTGACCTGGTCTCCTTCCTGCCCCCCTTTTCCAGGGTTGCCCATATCTGAGGGTAATATGGTCTCTCTGTTCCTCTCAACCATGGCGCCTTCCTTTTCCCTTCAAGAGTTCATGATCACTAATCCTTGAGAGTTTTCCTGACTCCCTGTCTCTTCTTCCTCCTTGGAAAGGTGAGGGCTGAATGAGAGTGAAGGCTGTATGGGTGACGGGGTCCTGCAAGACTGTCAGAGGACTGAAAGGAAAGAACAGGTATTGATGAGTCATCTAGGAGCCCTGACTTCTAAATCTTGTCCAGAACGTTGGGAGTGTATACTTCTTCCTGGAGCACTTATACTCAAATGATGGTGACCTTGATTTTATTCCTGTTTCTGCCCCGATACATTTAAACACAATGACTTCCTGACACTTGACTCAGTAATTGATCTCTCAAGCAGGATCCACATTTCCTGATCATGATCACTTCTGGGAATGCCTATGTAAATGAGGACCTGAAAGATGATCTTTGAAGTGAATATATATTGCAACAGGGTTGTCAGCTTTGTGAAAATGGGAATGCCCTTTTGCTGACCCACTTTCAGGGACTAAGCTGACTCTTGTGAGAAACATCAACTACTACTCTACTGACATAGTACTTCCTTGAGTTTTTTAGTTATTCTGTTCTGAAAGCTATATTAATAAATGAATGTCATTTGAATGGTGGTGTGATATCAGTTATCCAAAATGCAAACAAACATGGATTCACACAAAGAAAGTGGAGCCCTCTGTAAGAAGTTGAATTTTCCCTTCATAATTCCAAGTGCACAATCTCAGATGGTTCTGGAACAATGATGAGATGGTTAGCTTCCAAACTTTGGGAAATATACTGGGATTCTTTCCTCTCAGGTCACTTCATCCTCTTGGCTCATGTCTTTCATTCTTTTGTGGCTATTCTATGAAGTCACCTCTTTCCTCTTTCAAGTTTATTATCTTGAGGATGTATCCAATAGCCTAAATACTGCCCACAAAAGCTCCATCCCTAAACAAAACCTCCCTTCCATTCAGGCATCTTAAATTGGGGGTTTATAGTATCTTTCTCTGTTATTAATGAGTAGTATAGCTAGTTGACTGTTTAATGCTGACTAAATAGGAGAATCTCCAGAGGAAGACCATACCAGATGGCCATCCTTCCAACCATCACTAACAGGCCTAAAAGACAGCTGGAAATGATGGAAAACACATTAAGTAAGCTTAAAAGCTAGACTAACATACAAAGTTTATTTTCTTTTCTAAATAACTAGGTGAGAGATGAATGACACATGTTCCAAGTGTTTATGGAACACCTACTGGGGCCAGTCACCGTGTGCTTACATGTGTGCCTCATTTAATTCTCACAGCAGCTCTGAGGTTGGAATTATCATCCCCATTTTACAAATCTGAATACAATTTCAGAAAAGGTCTCTCAGTAGAAAAAAATACCTGACAGCATCCATTCCAAAAAAGTCATTTCTGGTCAGTTTGATGTCAAAGGAGTTTTCTTTAACATTTACATGTAATATGAAACATGTAATTTCCATTAGAGAATAAATTTTTATGAAATACTAAATAAATATACAAAAGCCTTGGCCAACATAAAAAACTAGGCTCTGGAATAGATACACTTTGTCTTCCAACTTCCTCTGCTATCACATTACCTAGGCCAATGGAGAAGCAAAACCAACATCAGAAAGAAGTTGTTATCTTGGCCTGGATCACAACTCTAAGTAACTCCCTTACTTTGCTTAGATATTTTTGGAAGTTTCTTTCTAGTGTCAGATGTATACTAAAGCTAAGAGGCCATATGGTTCTCCTTGCCATTATTAGTAAGTTTAATGCTCAGACATCTCTGAGGAACATTCAGGTGTATAGGGTTAAGGTTGAGCAGCCATAAAAATGGATCTTCATGTAGGTTTAGGACAAGTATGGCCTCAATACTCAGGAGAAAGACAATTAGAATGGGGATATTTTTTCCTGGACAAATATTGAATCTTCTTGTCCTGCATCAGAGTAAATTTCCCTGAGCCTTGGACTTGGTTGTCCATGGAGACAGAATCATAGCTCTCAAAATTGTCCCAAGAAGATAAGTAATTATGAGTTTTCTTCAGGAGGTCTGAAATACTATTTTCCATCTTTCATAAGAAAGAATAAAGAAAGAAAGTAGGACCCATGGCCAAAATACATTTTCCGAGCACCTAATAACTGAAGAACATATGTCACTGAGGATGGGGAAGCTCTGAGTAAACAGATAAATACATACACATAGATAGCTATAGATATATCTGACACTCACATTTTTATTCTTTTATTTATAAAGTATCCATTATTTATCAGTGCCAGGCACTGAAGATACAATACTCAATAAGAAAGGCAGTATAGATTCTGTTAATAACAGATTCTTATTACCGGGCACCACATACTTTTGTTTCACGGCTGTCATTCCATATGGTGACTTTCCTCAGACTGGGGACACTGAATGTGCTTCTCTTTTCCTGTGGAGTTTCTGGTGTCTAAGAAGGCTTGACCGCCTGCTAAAGTTTCTCCTGCACATACTACAAGTATAAGGCTGCTCACCTGTGTGGGTTCTCTGGTGTTTAATAAGGTGGGAATTTTGAATGAATCTTTTGCCACATTCATGACACTTAAAGGGCTTCTCTCCTGTGTGAATTCTTTGGTGTGTGTGTAGATTTGTGTTATGACTGAAGCTTTTCCCACACCATGAGCATCTATATGGTTTTATTCCTTGGTGTGCCATGAAGTGCTTATTAAGATCTGAACTCCATCTAAATCGCCTATCACATTGTTGACATTTATAGGGTTTCTCTTCAGTGTGAATTCTCTGGTGCTTAATAAGATCAGAGCTAACTCTGAAGCTTTTCCCACATTCCTGACATTTAAAAGGTTTTTCTCCTGTGTGGCTTTTCCTGTGGCGTTTTGGAAGCTCTTGTGTATAGCTTGAAACTAACTTTCTTTTCTTTCTTGGAAAAGCTCGACCCTGTTTCTGTACCCCATGTGTATCACCATGATTTTCCTTGCTCACTGTTTTCTGGCCAACTTTGATTCTTGTCTTCTTTGATACTTTGAATCCTGGTGCTTGTATTTCTGATGCAGAAACAGATTTGGGTTGATCATTTCCAGCGTCATTTTTGAGCTTTAACCCTGTTAGAATAAACAAAAGAATCAATCATCTGTTTCCCAGAGCAAGAAAACTACAGAAATGGAAGGAAAAGACAATAATGATTGCTTTGTGAAAAAAAATACAGCAACAAGTGATTCCTGGTCCAGTCTGAAATAAATGGTGTAGATCAACTTTTCCCTGATTCTCCCTGCTAGACACATGAGACCAAATGTAATACAAGAAACAACCAAAATAATATTCTAAAAAGTGAAAGGAGGCAAACTAGTTTGAAATCCAGGAATGGAAGAAAAACAGCAAAATATCTTATATTCCAACATGCAGATGCAACAGATAACTCAGATATAGGGTTTTCTAGCCCTCAAAATATCAACAGAAGGCTGCCTGGATAATTATGTTCCTGCCCTAGAGTGAATGGGAAATCTTCCGATGGCATCAGGTAAACCAGATACAACTGGCAAAGAGTATCAGCTTGGATCTGTGAACAGTAAGCAGCCAAGAGAAGTACTTGCCTTCCATAGTAGGCTGGAGACTACTCAACCCTAACTGAGAGATATAAAGGTATATGAACAGAACTGGCAAGAGAGAGCTGACCACAGTAAGAGAAATGAAGAAGACTCCTCTTTAATATCATAAACACAAGACTCTTTCCCTCTGATAGGAGACATGAAAGTGAAGAGATTAAACTAGCAAGGGAGACTCAGCCACAACAAGTGGCCTGACCTAGGAAGCCTCTTCATTCCCTTGAGTCTGAGCCATCCTTTGCCCAATGAGAGACATCCTGGCCTAAGGAAATGTTTTCCACACCCTCAGATAGCATCAGCCAGGACCCATGGTAGCCCCAGTAGTATCAGAGAAACCAGGAAGACCAAGTTAACAACATAAAGTCTCAAAAAATTGTAAGTTTACTCCATAAAAGTAATAAAGAGCTGGCATGCTAAACTGAAACAGGGTGACTACCTGCTAAAATATTTAAATATGACCTACACTCTCCTAACTTAATAGATAAAATAATCATGATAAAAAAATCATTCATTGACCAAGAGCCAAGCAAATCAGAACTTGAGTGACGTAGGGAAAGCTAAGAAAACATTTAATCAAACTAGAAATCAAAACCAGAAACAGGAAAATGAAAACATGTGGAAATGGGATAAAACACTTCTAAGTAATCCATGGTTCAAAGAAAAAAGACTCAAAGGAAATTTAAAAATATTGAAATTAAGATATATCAAAATATATGGAATGAAGTTAAAAAAGTTGCAACTGGTTACAACAGAAAAAAAGGAAAGGTCTCAAATCAATAATCTAAGTTCCTACCTCAAGAAACTAGAAAAAAGGAAAATAAGTCCAAAGCAAGTTGAAAAGAAGAATAAAGATGAGAGTGAAAATTATAATGAAAAAGCTTTGTTCTTCAAAAAGTTAATAAAATTTATAAATCTATCAAATAAAGAGAAGACACAAATAATCAATATCATAAATAAAATAAGACTGAGCGTGGTGGTGCCTACCTTTAATTCCAGTACTCAGGAAGCTGAGGCAGGAGGATGGTGAGTTCAAGGCCAGCCTGGATTACATATTAGTTCTGGGCCAGCCTGAGCTATAAATAGCAAGACCTTATCTCAAAAAAAAAAAGAATTTAAAGGTATATCATAACATATTCTTCAGAAATTATCAAGATTATGAAGGAATACTATGAATTTTATGTTCATAAATTTAAAGTTAGCAAAATGCACAAATTTCTCCAAACCCACAATCAGAATTCAACCAATATGAAATAGATAACCTGAATATTACCATTAAAGAAACTGAATTCATAATTTCAAAGTTATTGTCACTGGAAGATTCTACTATTTAAAGAATTAAAATTGTATGAAATCTCTTCTAGAAAAGAGAAATGGGAGGAATACTACCTGTCATTTGGTAAGACCAAAACCAAACAAAGACAGAATTTAAAAAGAAAACTAAAGACTCACATGTCCCATGAATTTAAATGTAAAATTTAAATTTAAATTACTAACTGAATGTAACAATGTATAAGAATAATTATACACCAGACAATGTGGGATTTATTGCAGGTATGCGAGGCCAGTTCAACATTTGAAGATCAGTCAATATACTCCATTTCAACAAACTAAAGAAGAAAGATCAACTGGGCATGGTCATGCCCATCTATAATCTCAGCACTTGTGAGTCTGAGGCAGGAGGATCACAAGTTCTAGGCTAGCCTGACCTATGCAAAAAGACCCTATTTCAAAAAAAATAAAAAGTATACAGATATTATGCTTCTATGAAATAATACAGAAAAAGTGTTTGATAAAACGCCATATCCATTCATGATAAAACTATTCATAAAGTCAGAAATTATATCAACTTGATACAGAATATCAACAAAAGTCCTAGTTCTAATATCACAGGTAATAGCAAAAGTCTGAATGCTTTCATGCTAAAATTGTGAACAAGGCAACACAGGACTGAAAGTTGGGGCTAACGCAGCAAAGCAAGACAAAAAAAAAGGTATTTGTAGATGATATGATTGCCTATGTAGAAAATATCAAGAAATCGATCCAAAAAACCCCTTAGAAGTAGTAAGTGGAATCCATACAGTCACAAGATACAAGATCAAAACACAAAATCCATGGCAGTCCTATATAAAAACAATGAAAATGAAAAACCTAGGCATACACTCAACAAAAATGTAGAGTGTCGGTACTATGAAAATTACAAAAAGTTGATAAGAAATATCAATAAGACCTAAATAGAGACATACTTGTGTTTGTGGACTGGAAGAATTATAGTGAAGATATAAGTCTCCCCAAACTGACATATATGCTTAATACAATTTCTAGCAACATCTCAACAAAGGTTACTGTAGTCATAGATAAGATTACACTAAAATTTACATGGAAGGAATGGACCCTACAATAGCTACAAAATTCTTTACAAAGAAGAATAAATTGTGAAACATCACTCTGTCTAATAGTTATTAAGGCTTACTGTGTAGTTTCCATAATGAAGAGAGTACAATACTCATAGAAAAATCACTCTGCCCAAAGAGATATTAAGGGTTGTAAATACAGCTACTGTATTTAAGATAGTGCAATATTCCAGAGGGACAGATATCTAGCTCCATGAAATAGAACAGACATACACAAGCTTGCTCAACTTACCTTTCACAAAAAGGCACAAAAGTAACTCAACAAATGATGTTGAAGCACTATACAGCCACAGGCAAACAAAGTGAGCCTCAACTTAAACCTCATACATTATATAAAATTAACTCAAAATCAATCATGGACTTAAATGTCAAACATAAAATCCTAAGAGTTTTAGAGGGATCTAGGACATAGTCAGAATTCTAGACTTGACATCAAAACCACAATCTACAACAGGAAGAATCGAATCTCATCAAAATTAAGAATTTTACTCTGGGGAAGTCCCTGGGACAATATGAAGACTGGGAGGAATTAATTGCAAACCATGTACCTGACAAAGCATCAGGATCTAGAATACATAAGGAACTCTCAAAACTTAAGTGTTAAGAAACAAAGTAATTCAATTAAAATACAAGCAAAAGACATATTTCACTGAAGAGAGACTACAGACATGGCAAATAAGCATGTGAAAAGATGTAAAACATCATTATCCATTTAGGGAAATGCAAATCAAAACCGCAACATGGTATCACTGCATTCCTCTTACAATGACTAAAAATATGTGAAAGATACTGGCACTACTTGCCAGTGTTTAACTGGCAAGGATGTGGAAAAACTGGATTACTAATACAGTGCTGTAAAATGGTAAAGCCACCATGGAAAACAGGTTGACAGTTTCTTTATAAATTAAACTGCAATTATCAAAAACATGCAAATACCTTTACAATTACCATTACCCTTGTTCAAGGGTACCATGAACTAGCTCTTGCACCCTTGAAGAATTTATTCCGGAGAAGTGAAAACTCCACACAATAATCTGTACATGAATGTTCACAACAGCTTTATTCAGAATAGCTCCAAACTAGAGACAACAAAGATAGCTTTCTATGAGTGAATATTAAACTACTCAGTAAGGAACAAGCTATTGATGATATACACAGCAACTTAGAAAAATGTCCAGGGAATTATTCTAAATGAAAAAATTAACCCTAAAATGACATACTTTATAATTTCATTCATATAACATTTTTCAAATGGCAAAATTTTAGAAATGTAGAACAGATTAGTGATGGGCACGGGTTAGTGGCAGTGTGGGAGGGAAGGGCAACAGGAGGGTTCCTTGTGCTAATAAAACAGTGCTATGACTATGATCATGAATACATAAATCTATACGTATACACACAAAAAATGAATTCAAGTAAAACTGGGAAAATCTGAATGAAATCAATAGGTTGTATCAATATCAATATCCTGCTTGTGATAAAATACTTTCGTGAAAGTTACCATTACAGGAACCTGGGCAACGTGTACACGGACCTCTTTGTATTACATTTTAAATATGCATGTGAATCTAAAATGATCCCAATAAAAACTTCAATTTAAAAATACAAGCCAGGTGTGTGGTGCCATCCTGTAATCCCAGCACTCAGGAGGCTGAGGCAAGAGGATTGTGAGCTTGAGGCCAGCCTGGGCTATGTAGTGTGACCCTGACTCAAAAAATAAATAAAAGAGCAGAATCTTAAAATGTTAAACCCTTGTAAAAGGTCCCTATTGAAAGTTTATCTTGTGTAATATGTACCTATAGCAGACTCTCAAAGATTGTCCTTGAACTCCTGGAGAAGTTGGGTATAAAACTCTTCTCCTTGCTCTGACTAGACCACTTTAAAGTGAAACAATAATGCTTTGGGAATAAAACTTTGAGGCGATGAACTGCTATCTTAACTCCAGACTACTTTCAGGAAGAGCAAGTGACTTTTATACTTCTTAGATTCCAAATATTTAAGTGGGCAGAATCTTGGATTAACATTTTACACTCCACTGTGGATATGCAAGAAGCTAGGAGCTAACGCTAACAAAGACAGACATAAATGATACAGGGAATGGGAATCCAATGTTACTGAAGGTAGACTTGTTCACAGAAGAAAGCTTAGACTAAGATGGTAAGAATGGGGGACACCCAGACATTTTTGGGAGCTGGGCATGTGGCTCAGTGGCACAGCACTTGCCCAGCATGTATAAGACCCTGGGCTCCATCCCCAGTACCACATAAAATAGAGACCAGGTTGGATTCAAGATATATTTTGAGTGATGAGGATTGGCTGCTAGATCAGCTGTGGAGTATAGCAGAAAGACTGGAGTAAAGGCTGACTAAGAGGTTTCTGGCCTGAGAAGCTGGGTAAATGGTGGTGCCCTTTACTGTGGGGATGGGGGTCTGACAGATTAAGAATTCAATGTAGAATAAGGAAATGAGACATGTGATCCATACCCCAGGTGAGGTGAGTATGCCTTTCCTTTATCCCCACACTATCAAGTTGAGAATAAGCAGCTACTGCAACCCAGTGGTGCTCTCACAGAGGGTACATTTTCAATAAACTGAGAACTTGTACACGAAGGGAAAGAAAATTTTTACCTAGGGAGATGGCAGTGTCATAGTTGTCCTGCATCACATCATTGTAGAGTGTCTTCTGATTAGGGTCTAGTAATTGCCATTCCTCCTCAGAAAAATACACGGCCACATCTTCAAATGTCAACAAACTCTAAAGAAGAGAATGGGCTTAATTCAGTACTTGCCAGTGCAGAAGCTGTCCTATCACCCATGTCTGAATTACATGGTAGGCCAGGTGCCAAAGAAGTTAACAGTAGAAGATTTCTAGAAAGGGAAGTGAGATGGCAGAAAGGAAGGAGCTAAGTGTAAACAGCCTGGGAGGTACCCAACTCCCATTCCCGTTGTTCCAAGCCTAGTTGCCTGGAGAATATATGGGGTTAGCACACCCCAAAACACCTGCTGGGTAGTATGGCAGCAGGAAAAAGCAGAGAGAAGGCTGCCTGAAAAAACTGGAAAGTACAGCTCACCTGGGACTCAGGCAAGGTGAGCTCAGATGCCATCTTCCAGTCTTTGGTGCTTTTCTGCTCAGAAAGGGCTAAAATCTGTGGAGTATACACAGCTGTGGGTGGAAAAGAGCCAGAGAAAATTTCTCCTTTCCTTTCCTGTTTATGAACATCCAAACTTATTTCTAAACAAAGACTACTGGGACATCTTCACAAAAGATGCATCAAAATGACAAGTATGTATGTCCAGAAATGGTCATTTCATGGGAAACAGGGACCAAATAGCCACAACTTATAGAACCAGCTCTCCAGGTCACTAGTTCCTCAGATTTCACAAGGGAAATTAATAAAAAGGAAATTTATTAAGTAGATTAAACCTCATAAAATAAATTGTTTGCTGAGGTGGGCAAGAATTAGAGGTGTTTGGAAATGAAGGACTCAGGACCTATGGCATACAGTAGAAAATGTGGGAGATTTTGGTCTTTTTTTTTTTGTGCACAATTTTCTTTACATTCTGCCACTTAACAGCCCATGTCTGATTTGTTTCTCCTATAACTTCCAAGGCTGTGGTGGCCCCACCTGTCTCTTGTTCCATCTTCCTCTTTCCTCTCAAATTTCTAAAGAACAGAGACTATGGTATGAATACCGGGGCTCTGTGGTTTGGAAACTTCTGTACCTTAGGTCAACTCTCACATTCACTCACTCACTCCACTCCCATCTGGGAAATATAACTGCCAGCATGGCCGGGCTCCTAGAAAATTCCACAACATTCTAACTGAGTCAATTACTATTACAGCTCCTAGGAGAAGAGAATTATCACGAAGCTCCTCACCTCGTTTATATACAGACTGGGTTTCTTTGTGAGTATGCCAGCCCAGCAGTTCTTGTAGTACCTGGTATGTATTCCAACATTCTTTCTGAACATACCCATTGGTTGGGGCTCTGCTGGCTTCCACTTGAAGCCTGGGGCCACTTGCTGTTCCTCCCAAGAGCACTGCCTCCTTTCCCAGCTCATGGGCTGTGACCTAGAAACAATCCCCATCCTCATTAGCACAGACCTTGTTTTCGTTTTGGGGTGGTGGTGTAGGAAGAAACAAGAGTTGAGTCCAGATTTGGGAGAGTGTGACATAAAGGAAGTAATTTTTAAAAGTCCGAGATATTTATATTCTCATAAAGAACTATACACAGAATCTGGGAAAATTAAGATAAAATGAAAAAAACTGTGATTTTTTTTCCAGTCCCTGAACTCAGCAGCCTCCATCCCTGTATACACAGCCACAGCTCAACCCGCTAACCAGGGTTCTCAAACTACCTACATCAGATTGCTTTCTTGACTTGGATCCCTGTCTTAATGAATTTCTATATTCTCATTTTCTCTAAAAGATAAAGAGTTGAATTTTAAAGGTTTTCTTGTCAGCCAGAGTTTTCAATCCTCCTGCATAGCAAAAGAAGGATTTCATGGGAAAAGGGGATGGAATGGAGGAGAAATGGGCTCCAACCTCCCTCCACATGATTTGGTTGCAATAAGACACCAAAAATAAGCTCTTCTCTATATTCCTAAGGTGGGTTCTGGAGGAAAGGCAGTGTGGGGCTATTTCCCAAGGGCATACCATGGTGACCCATTCACTAGAAGCACCAAGGTTAGGCCATTAAGGGAGGACAGTAGAGGGTCTCTTCTCCAGTCCAGGTTGTGTGTTCCCAGTATAGAAATCACTACCCCTCAGCATCCTGATTCCCTTCACTTCTCTGTTGGCATTTTTTTCTCTTTCAGTATCTTTGTTTCCATTTTTGCTTTCTATTTCTTCTCTTCCTTTGCAGTCTCCCCAGAGTTGTTTGATTTATAATTCTGTTTGTTACCTTCTTTCTCTGGTGGTCTGCATGAGTACTATACAGTTTGTGGGTGTTTCCCATTTTGCAACTCTTTCTTGCCTTTTATTTCTATTTCAAGTCTTGTCTCCTCGGCCATGCCAAACTAAGCCCATCACTCTCAATTCATCCTGGCCTCAAAGAGGGAAAAACAGGAAGGACTCTGCCAGGAACTATGAACCTTGTGGACTGACTATTGATGTATGAATTCAGAACACCATGACAGTTTCAGATTCCGTCTTCCTATCCTAAAGGACCAAGAGAAGGATGACTTAAGCCATCTTATTCCCTAACAACCCTACTCAGACATATCCACCTTTATCCTGCTTCACTGTACATATAAGAAATCTTTCTTCTCACCTCATTCTGTGTTCCGCCAGGTTCTCTCTGCAAGCGTTCTACCAGATCCACTGCCTGTTTGATGTTCTGTGGATGATGCTTCTGCACCCAGTTCTGGGTCTCCCTGGGAAGAATGGTCAGGAACTGCTCTAGCACCAACAGTTCCAAGATCTGCTCTTTCGAGTGAATCTCTGGTCTCAGCCACTGGTGGCATAATTCCTGAAGTTGGCTGACAGCTTCGAGTGGTCCAGGTACTTCATGATAGCAGAAGCTCCGGAAGTGCTGGCGAGCGCTCTCAGGACGAAGGCTTTCTGTTTGCAGGCCGTATTTCTTACTCTGACTGCAGTTTTCTTTCGTAGATGCTCTAGTCTCCCATACAGCCCCCATGTGGGGGTTCGAGCTTGTATATGCCTGCAGCTTACTCATCATCGTTCGCTCTAGAACAGCTTCACTCTTGTGTGTGACACTCACACCCCCCTGGTGCCACCTCTGACAACTGATGCTCCATCAGTTTTGGTACAAAATCAATGAATGGCTCTTCTCCTCCAGGGCACTGAGAGAGAAAGCAGAAAAACAGTACATGTCAAGAAGAAAGTCACATGACAGATATTCACTTGCTATTTATTATTCGAGAAAAAATGAGCAGAAAAGTTCCTGCTTCCCCTCTAAAGTCAACTGGCAACTATTAGGACACTTATGATCCCAGGATACTCCAGGAGGTACATTTCTCACCCTTTTCTTTGTTGTTCAACATTGAAACAAAGCACAGCACAGACAAAAACAAATGTCAAACAATGCCCTACCCTTTTGGCTCACTCTTTTTTTGGCTTAACAGCTTAGGAAATGTTGGTGGGTGAGATTATTCAATACTTATACTGTGTGCTTCCTGTCCCACCTTCACAAATAGGGCACATTTGAGCTTCTCTATTTTTTTCTTTGTGGTAATGGGGCTTGAACTCAGGGCATACACCTTGAGCCACTCCATCAGCCCTTTTTTTGTGAAGGGTTTTTTTTTTTTCATTTTTCTTTTATTATTCATATGTGCATACAAGGCTTGGTTCATTTCTCCCCCCGAAGGGTTTTTTCGAGATAAGGTCTCGCAGAACTATTTGCCTGGGCTGGCTTTGAATGGCAATCTTCCTGATCTCTGCATCCTGAGTAGCTGGGATTACAGGCATGAGCCACCGGCGCCTGGCAGTTTCTCTACATTTTAACAGATCACCCTAGTCTTTCATCTTGTTAGTGAAAAAATAACTTCTATGCCCCTTCATTCTCTCAGGAAGACTGAAGCTTTCATTTCATGAACCATTCAATATTCTTATGTCGACTGTATCAACACTGAGAGGAAAACTGAGACAGCAAGATCAGAGACATAATTAAGGAAAGAGTAACTGAATTTCATCTCTGCAGTTGTCTCCCACTAAGGAAGCAGACTCTCAACATTGAAGGGGGCAGGTCTTTGGAATACTTATAAATGACACTGTGCGTATTCGTACACCTGGGTATTAAATATTTTGTTTAATTTAACTGGGAAGACTTAAAGCTGGCCTTTGTTTACGAGATATCCAAATGCCAGGTCATAAAACAAAGGAGAGAAAGAGAGCTAGTGATGATTAAGGTTCTTATACACAGGAAGGATGTGACTGCATTTCCTCAGTATCTTCAAGGCTGCAGATAGTCTTGACAGCCTGATTTTTCCCAGAGGGGAGCAGCAGAAACAGCAACAAAACACTTTCCTGGGATGCCACGAGTATTCAAAGAAACAACTGGCTCCTTGTTGTTCATCCAGGCTCAGGAGGCAGAGGGGAACTTCCTGGATTTTTGTGTCAGCAGAAGCCAAGGTCTTAAGGCTGAAATGGCCCTTTCTCTAGTATTATGATCATAAGCCAGTGGAAACTGGGAACTTTCTCTGGGTGCAGTCGTAGACGTTACTGCCCCAGTCCCCACCAAGTCTCCCTACGCTCTACATCGACCACGGGGACACACAGCACTTTGCACGTGAGCACCCTACAAGTTTGCGTTCGGACACAGGGTAGAGGGTTACTTCGGAAGGTGAAAAGTGGCTGAAAGAGCTTGGGCCTTGCTGAGGACAGGTCCCACGCGTTCTCCTGCCAACCTGCCACTTGGCTATGCCACTGCGTACAGGAAAACGCTGCGTCCCATTCCCCGCCCCCACTCCCCGCCACGCCGCAGCCCCAAAGGCTGTGACCGGCAGGAATGGCCGGTATCTTTCAGGGGCCTCCTAACCCAAACTAAAGGGAGAGCCGGCTGCCCCATTACCTGCAGTCAACTCTGGCTTCCGCGGACGCCACTTTCCTTTTCCTCCGCTGGACAGGGAAGTCGCCACGCCTCCCCACGGCTCTGTCAAACGAAACTCCGCTCCTGCGCCGCTCGGGCCGGGGCAAGGGTGGCGGTGACGTCAAGACAGCGCGCGACGCCTGGCGAGCGAAGCTCCAAGATTCGAGAGGCGCAGGGGCCTTGAAAGATCACTTCTCTCCCCGATTCCTCTACCTCCCCAAGACCTCACCCCAACTTGCCATTGTTTCGCGGTCTGGGGATCGAACCCCAACCGGAAAAGGAAAGATGCGTTTCCGGTGGCTTTGTGACAGCCACGCCCAGCCATCTCCCTCCGTCTACTTAAGAAGTGTCAGCCTAGCGGAGTCAGGGAACTGTCCAGTGAACTCTTCCAATTCCGGAGGAACCGGCCTCCTGCTCCGATTTGGCACTGGATGCAAGAGTTAATGCCACAGAGTCCCCAGGCTTGGTGGAAGCCTAGAGGAGACTCGCAAACGGTTCGTCGCCTGGGTGCGACATAGCCTGCAGACTCCTGGTTCCAAGATCTCCTATCCCCCCGCTTTTTTGCAAACTGTTGCGCATCCGGATGGTTCCTGCCGGCTTCCCGAGGACAAACGATCCTTTCTGCCAAGGGCCACAGAAGAACAGGGCTCTCACATGGTCGGCGCACCCCAGCACTATGCCCTTGGCCGAGTCCCAGCCAGGGCTGGAGCTGTCTGTCATCACTTGACTCTTCAGAGGTTTCCTTGAGTAAAGCACTTTGGTGCTTGTCAGACTCTGGCTAGATTAGGAGCAACATTTCCTTACATTTTTTAAATAGGTTTTCGGGTTCCTAACTACTATCTTGTTTTATTTTTGTTAGGTAGATTTTAACCTTTTGAGATAAAGTCCATTTATGTTTGACATATAAAGAAATTGACATGTAGGACATGACTTCCTCAGGGTTACATAGATTACCGGTGACGGATTTTAGACAGGAAAACTTAAGTCTGCTGTGGTCATATCCTGGGTGTTTTCTATTACATTATGTTTTCCTGGAGTTTGGGAATCTTGGTTTTAATCTTGTATGTCCAGCGATGCTTAGCATAGTCCTCTGGGCAAGGCATGTATTCCACAAGTATTTACTGAATTATCTTTCTAAGAACCTGAGTATTTCAGATTGTCAGTAATTCTCAGTATTTACCATTTGGACAAAAAATTGTTCATGCATAGCTCAGTTGTATGATGGGGGATGAAACTGACATCTTTAGGAAGTCATCATGAGAAATCACTCAGACAAACAACAGATATCTGCCTGCCCAGCAGGAAAATAAAGAGTGACACTTTGGCTTTTTACATGCAAATGAAAGTGAGACCCTTAAGTTAAAGTCAATCATCCTTTAAAAAGTAAAGCTGAGGGCACCCTCTCTGGAACCCCGCCCCCAACTCTAGGGGCTTTACTCTTCCACTTTTACACTTTTCTATCTTAACAAACTCTCCTGATTTACTAGCAAAACAACAACAACAAAGTAAAGCTGCCCGAAACTGTGCAAGAGGGCACAATGTGTTTTCTGTGATATATAAAGTTAGTAAAGTTGTTTGGCTCAGCATAGAATGTTTTCAGAATGGTTCTTTCAAAACTGTGTTCCTGCCGCCAGGCACTTTCGCCATAACATTTTATTTGAAGAGGAAGTCAGGACACTGTTACTTCCAGATACTTCCTGGGCTTATCACTAGCCAGTGAGGATAAAAGACATTTTCTGGGTTGGGGATGTAGCTCAGTGGCAACATGCTTACTTAACATATCCAAGGCCCTAGATTTGATCCCCTGCATCACACAAAAAAAACACATTTTGTTTCTTCTAAACACTTCAACTTTGAATTACTCAGTCAAGGTGTGATTCTTGAGCTGCAAACAACTTTACACATGGAATCAACTTGAAAACAGTATTGTAGTTTTGAATAAAGTCATGATGATCAAGATAAAGAAGGAAAAGGAATTCCAAAATTAAAACCTACAACACAAAAATGTAATTTTTATATGAGCAGTCAGGATACAGTAAAACCATTAGCTATAGCAAATGCATAAAATTCTCTAGTAAAAGGAGCCTGAATATTATTTTGAAAGCTTACATATTAGTTACTTTGGGCTGCTATCAAAATGCCATTGACTCTGTGGCTTAATAAACAAACATTTATCATGGTTCTGGAACTGGAAGTCTGACATCATACAGACATGGGTTCTTGGTGAGCACAGTGTTCTTGACTTTATCCTCACATGGCCTTTCCCATCAAGGGGGCTCCACACTCAAGACTTCATCTAAGCCTAATTACCTCCCAAAGGCCACAGCTCCAAATACCATCACATTAGAGACTGAGCGGGGGTTGGGAGGGGAGGGCACAAATATTAAGTCCAGAGCAGCTTAGAAAAGAAAAGAGGAATTATAAACTTTTGAGAGATAAAAACAATTGGAAACTAACTCGGAAGAAGATAGCATGTGATTAAGTCGGAATAAGGAAAAGGATTGCCTGCAAAAGGACCAAAGTTGTGCTGAGGTGTAGCTCAAGCAATAGAGTTCCCACCTAGCAAACACGAAGCCCTGAGTTCAAACCCTAGTGCCACCAAAAAAGTTTTGATTACAAAGGAAGTTGTTCAAAAGAGAGGAGCAACTTATGAAAAACTCCTGGACTGCTGAGTTTAAATTACCTGTTCTAGGAATTTGAACTACCTCGTTAACTTTATTGCTGCTACAACTAAAACTGAAAGACTCCATTTCATGCTAGACATGCAGCAAGTAGTAATTTAAAAGGAGTTCTACAGTAATTCAATTATAAAATTGAAATAATCACTGTGTCATGATTATCTGTGCTCCCATGCTCATTGTGGCATTATTCACATAGCCAACATACAAAATTGGTAGCCTTTTAAATAAAGGCCTCATAGTATAAAGGAGTTGTAACTTCAATTTCTTGTTCTAATAATTAGATTTCTAAAAATAGCTATACTGTGATATAACTCAAAAATCATATAATTTATCCATTTAAAGTATAATAAAAGTCAGTGGGTTTTAGTACTCAACCAACATGGCAATCAATTGTAGAATATTTATATCATCCCAAAAAGGAACATTGAACTGGATAGCTGTAACTTCTCATTTCTCACCAATTCCTATCTTCCCATCACCAAACCTAGGCAGCCAACTTATCTGTATCCATCTGTATATTCCAGACATTTCGTGTAAGTACAATCATCATAACATATGATTTTTGTACCTTCATTATACATAATGAAGCATGTTTTCAAGCTTCATACCTGTTTGTAGCATGTATAAGGACATAATTTTATTTACTGATGAATAATATTTAATTTCATTGATACGTTGAATGTTTGGGTTTTTTCCCATTTTGGGGGGCTATTATGAATATTGCTGCTATTAATATTCATGTACAAATTTCATGTAGAAAGATATTTTCATTTCTTTTGCATAAATACTTAGAAGTGAAATTGCTAAATCATATGGTAACTATGTTTAACCATTTGAGGAACTGCCAGACAATTTTTCCAAGTGACTACAACATTTGATATTCCCACTAGCAATGTAAGAGGGTTTTAATTTCTTCATGCCCTTGCTAACACTAGTTATTTATTATCTGTCCTTCTTAATTATATCATTCTAGTGAATATGAGATGGTATCTCATTCTGGTTTTTACTTTTTAAATTTATTTTTAAGCTGGGTGCTGATGGCTCATGCCTGTGATCCTAGCTACTCAGGAGGCAGAGATCAGGAAGATTGCGTTTTAAAGCCAGCCCAGGCAAATAGCTCTTGAGATCCTATCTCAAAAATAACCAACACACAAAAAAAGGCTGTTGGAGTGGATCAAGTGGTAAAGCCCCTGCCTAGCAAGCAGGAGGCTCTGAATTCAAGCCCTAGTATTGCCAAAAAAATTATTTTTCACTGATGTGTAAAACACAAAAAATTGCACATATCAGTGGGGTACCATGTAATTTTTGATACCTGAATACATTGTATAGTGTTTAAATCAAATTAAACACATTTATCTCCTCAAACATTTGCCATTTATTCATGGTGAAAACTTTCAAAATCCTTTTTTCTAGCTTTTTGAAACGTATAGTACATTATGATTATCTATATTACTCATCTGGTTTGAGTTTTGTTTTCCTTGTTGCTAATGACATTGAGCATATGTTCATTGTTTATTAGCCCTTTGTAGACTTTTGGATACATTTCTGTTCAGATCCTTTGTTCATTTTTAATTGAGTCATTTGTATTTTATTATAGAACTGCAATAGTTTTATATATATTCTCTCTATATTTATGGTACATATATCCTTGATCAGATATATGATTTGCAGATTTTTTCTTCCATTTTGTGGGCCGTCTTTTAGCTTTCTTGATACTGTTCTTTGTTGTACAAAAGATTTTTTATTTAAATTTATTTTTAATTTTTAATTGGATAAAGGAATTTTATTATGACATTTCCATACATGCATATAATGTGCATACAATGTTCTTTGATAACATTCACCCTCTCTATAACAATTTATTATCTTCACTCCCTTCTAGCTTTCCCCTTCCACATCCCTAATAGTCTTTTTTATTTTTATGTCCTTTCCCCACCTAGATTGCAAATCTATGATGATCTCCAGTTCTATCTATTTTCCTGCAAAGGACATTTCATTTTTCTTTATGACTGAATAAAACTCCATTTTCTCTCTCTCTTTCTGTCTCTCTCTTTGCCACATTAGCACATTTTCTTTATTTTTCTTTGATTGCTTATTGAAAAAAAACTGTTTCTGGACTCTAATTCTATTGCATTGATCTCTATGTCTATCCTTATGCAAGTACTACACTATCTTGATTACTGTTGCTTTGTGGTTAGTTTTGAAATCAAAGTGTGGGTCCTACATCTTTGCTTGTAAGCTTTCTGGGTGTCCTGAAATTCCATATGAATTTTAGGATCTATGGCTTGGTTTCTGTAAAGATGTCATCTGGAATTTTAATATAAATTCTACTGACTTTTTAAATCAGTTTGGAGAATATTGCTCAAGGTCAGCCTACATTTCCTAAGCTCAGATAGCTGGAGTTTCGATCTGTGGCTGCTGAGCTGCTTGACAGACACTCAACTAATCTTAGTCAAGGGGAAATTAGATTAAGATTTGCCTCCTGTGGAGGCTTGGTGGCCAAACTCAGAACTCATGACAGGGAGGTGAATATGTGAGGGACAGGATCCTGGC